CAGGCCGCTCGGTTAGCGCTCTTAAAGGGACAGGCCGCTCGGTTAGCATTCTTAAAGGGACAGGCCGCTCGGTTAGCGCTCTTAAAGTTACGGGATGCTCAGTTAGCGCTCTTAAAGGGACAGGCTGCTCGGTTAGCACTATTAAAGGGACAGGCCACAGAGTTAACTCACTTAAAGGGATAGGCCTCTCAGCTAATACTCTTAAAAGGACAGACCACATACTTAACTCTGTTAAAGTGACAAACCGCGGGGTTAACACTCTTAAAGGGACAGGATGTAGCTGTCATTATGAACAGGACAGGGTGCATACGGCTCTCTTAAAGGGACAGGATGTGGATGTTTCCCTCTTAAAGGGACAAGGCGTCCACGTCCCTTGCTTAAAGGGAGCGTGACGACAAATCTCTTAAAGGGACGGGGCACGCATGTCCCTCTCATAAAGGGACATGGTGCAGAAGTCTTTCTTAAAGGGGCCATGTCTCACAATTCTCTTAAAGGGACAGGGCACACACGTCACTCTTAAAAGGGACCAGGCGTAGATGTCTCCCTCTTAAAGGGACAGGGTGTAGATTTCTGGCTCACAGGGGGTACACCTCCCTCTTAAAGGGACACGACACAAACACAAACGCACTCATCTCTATCTTAAAGAGACAGGACACATACCTTGACCAGTGTTGACCGACTGGAGCCAACCAAGGAGACAGAACGGGGAGAGGCGGCGGTGGGGGGACAGGGGGTAGGTGGGGTTGGCCAAATTGTTCTGAAACTTTCCTTCCATCTCTGTCTCACCCCAACCCTGTCCCCACCTCAGGATCCGAAATCGTCAATAACCCAGAGACGGTCGGCCTACGCGAGGAGATGGCAGAGGGAGTGCGGGCCCCGCCTGGCGCCCAGGGTGCCTACCAGTGCCTGGAGTGCGGAAAAGCCTTCAAGTGGTCGTCACGGCTGACCCACCACCAGAGGAGCCACACGGGGGAGAGGCCTTACAAGTGCCTGGAGTGCGGCAAGGCCTTCAAAGGCTCGTCGGCCCTTCTGTACCACCAGCGCGGGCACACGGGGGAGAGGCCTTACAAGTGCTCGGA